AGAGAGAGAGAGAGAGAGAGAGAGAGAGAGAGAGAGAGATGCTCAGTTGAGCAATGTATATGGAGCCAAGGATCCACAAAGTGATGAAACGGACTCAAATGGACAATGCAGTGTTAGCAAAGCATCACAAGCAATGTACATCCAGATACATATGAAAATAGCACAACGTAGCGCCGCAGAAGACTCGAAGATATGACCTGACCTATCAGAGACTGACGCGACATCCCATCATACAGCATACATGTGAGAGAGGGAGGAGGGACCGCATACATGGAAGAAAGGTCCCTCCTTGCACGCGCACATGGGGGAGATACCACGGATGAAGAGATGGGGGAGAGGCGAGATGAAGATGAAGGTGAGGGAGAAGACCAAAATCGCGATAGCGAAGTCCGAAAATAGTCTCCCTGCCGAATGTCCAATCAATGTCTGCCACAAAATGTCAAATCAGATCCTGGGCCTCATGTCCAAAGTAACCTCTCTCTCTCGCTCTCTGAAAGAAGAAGAAGAAGAAGATGTCGTCCTCCTCGCTATCTCACCTGCAGGTAACTGCCGCCATGTATCAACTGCAGTCGTGGTCCCTGTGCGGGCCGCCGGCGTGGAGCACGGCTATGGCGCCAGGTTAAGTACTGCCGCTGCAGGTATGGCCTCTGCTTCACCTCCTACCTACACCTGTACCTCTCCAGAGCAGCGCCGTTTCGCGCTGCTCCAGCAGCGTGTCGCCCAAGAAGTGAGCTACTCAAACTGCGTGTCTGCCCAGGCGTGGCCCAGCTATACGTAGCACTGGGCCTCGCGGGTCTGCCTCCGTGTGCCTCTGGTTCTAGGCCAAAACGTGGCCTACTAGGTCTGGGTCCCGACCGAACGTCCAGACCCTTCCTGCTGATGCAGCATGGTCGTCCGCTACTGGACGAACACGAACCTGGCCCAACAGGGCCTGCCTACGTCCGTATCAGGCCACAAGTGTGGCCTTGTCCGAACAGACCCAAGGTCTGTCTGTTCTGACGTACTGAACTGCAAGTCCGGAACGACGCCTGAACAGACAAAAATAGGACAGCAAATAAATAAATAAACGAATGCTGCCTCAAACAGACAAAAATAGGACAGCAAATAAATAAGTAAATAAATAAATGCTGCCTCAAATCAAAACTGCGGCCCTAAGGCCGGCTGTGGGCCTTCAGGGCGCATATCCGAAGGGCGTGCGGCCTGGGGCCCTCAGCAACCGTAGGGCCCCCAAAACGGGGCCCGTGTGCAGGCAGCATGTAACACCCCCACGTCCTTATGAAGTCAAGCCGGGTCAAGGGTGAAGCTGACGATCCGATGGTGGAACCTGGACGCGAGTACGGCGTGGAGTCGGAAGGTACCGGCTTGCCTTGCTGTTTGTGTTCGTAATGTGCGGGGACGTCAGGGGCTGTGGCCTGAAGTTATGCACGGGTCAACCAATGGTCAGCCTTATGAAAGGCCTTCCACCATTCAGACCCCAAATTCGGATCTCAGGGTCAGATGCCCAGGTCAAGAAAAGGCCAAGTTTGTCAAACTCAGAAAGTCACAATCGGGTACCTCAGCAGTTTGGTCCAACAGGCACCCAGCAAACAGTCACATCTCAGGGACAAGAGTCACATTTCCTAATGAAAAGTCATATTGAAGAGTCGCATCCCTCGAGTGAAGGCAGTATCACAGGGAAAAGTCGTGACCCACAGGCAGGAGTCACTATCCACAGTCAAAAGTCATGTTCACAAGCGAAAAGTCATGACTCAAAGGCCCAAGCAGCAGCAGTCCAATGGAAATTCGGGAAGGTTCCAGGCCTTGACATTCAGAAGCAGACAGGCCGAGGGGATGTGGTACCGGAACCAGTCAGGACCCAAGAAACAGAGGCTGGCACGAGTTGGAGTGCAAACCAAGACTACAAAAGGACTGTTCAGCCTCACATTCGGGCAGATTGCTCATTCGCAAGCAGTGTGGAACTGCTGGTGCACTTGTGCGCTGAAGTGAGGGGCAGAGCGCTGAAGCCAAAGTGCTGCGCTATGAGAGAGAAGATGATAGCGCTGGCAGGGAGAAGGCAGCCATAGCTGCGCCAGCGAATAGTATTAGTAGCAGACTTAGATAGTTAGTAGGCTTGTCAGTGGGTGTATTCAGAGTAGATTCTTGAGTAGAATTAGTGTGAGTGCACACACGTAGTGAGAGAAGACACAGTGAGGACATAGCTAGAGAGAAGACCAGTGAGAAGGGGAGACTCAAGAGGGAGAAAAGCAGTGGGGGAAGAGAATCTTACCTGAGAGTTTGTGCTGGATATTGATTACCTTAGACATGCGCTGATGAGCTGGTGACTTGGAACTCTTAATTGCTCTTGTTAAACTTGTTGAAATTCATAAGCTGCGCTATCTGGTCTTAATCACTCTGGTCTCCAGTGTGAACTTCGTGTGATCTCATACATGTTTGCGGTGTGAATATGTGCACTCATTGGTGTTGAACTGTGAGGTTCATTGCGAACTGGTATCGGAGCAGTTGCTCCTTACACCCATTAGACATCGCTGGCAATGATCAAGGTCGGCGAGGAGGGAGATAAGAGAGTAAGTTGAGTGGGGAGAAGATTGACGAAGAGGGGAAGAAGAAGGCCGAAGAAGAAGTGGTTTGATTACATACCTGTTGCTGCTGCGGTGGGGCATTGGAGCGGCCATGGAGCTTCATCAACGGAACGTTCAACTGAATGAAGTGCATCCCTCCATTAAAACCTGTATTGCTTGCTGACTTGTCTTGGTGTTTGGTACCTTCCCAATCTTGGAGTCGCTGCTGCTGGGCTGAACCAAACCTTGTGATATTGTGACGGTGCTAAGGCAACGAGGCTGGGAGCGAGAGGGAGAGAGTGAGAGCACACACACACTCACTCAACTCGACGCAGACTCGACACAACTTGACGGACGCAGACACGAAGTGGCAAAATCGCAAAGTCGAAGTCTTGGATTTCCAAACACAATGTCGAAGCAAGTCTTACTGAGTACGAGTACAGCAGGAAACTGGTACCAGACTGGTCCCCGTACCGTACGGGGAGCCGGTATAAGTACCGGTGACACGTACGGTACCAGGGGCATTTCTGCAAAGGCCCCTGGGGCAGAACTGAAAAATGAGGTATTTGAAAGTGGCGCCCGAATTGCAGCATAGCGCCAGTTGTCCAAAATCCTACGGTACCAAAGGAAGGGTTTGGAAAAAGGGTGCCAGGCCGAAAACATGATGCAGCCGAAACAACAAAAAGATAGACCAGGGATCGAGCCCTGGCGGAGTCCGTAACACTATCCCCTCCCTCTAGAAGGCAACGTCCCGGCTCCCTAAAATCATGAAACTGAAATCTGTGAAGGACGGGACGGGGCCGGTTAACAAGTCAAAAGGGAAGAGGAGTATAATGTGGGTAGCATGGGCTGTGGGAGTAAGAGGGAACAGGGTTTGGTACCGGTGAACAGGGTTGTCCTACTGATGAACTAGGGGGGGGTTGCAGGGAACAGGGTAGTCCTACAAACGAACTAAAGGGACGGCAGGGAGCAGGGTAGTCCTACTGATGAACTAAGGGGACTGCGTGGTTTTCTATAGGTTAAGGGGGAACATAGTTCAGGGAACAGGGAACTTCTATTGATGTTCTACTGGGAAAGGGAAACGGTGTTCAGGAAAACAGGGTATTTCTATTGATGTTCTAGTGGGTTCGGGGAACAATGGCTAGGGAAACAGGGATCTGCTAATGATGTTCTACAGGATTGTCAAAGTCAGGAAAAATAAAAATGAAAATGTTTGTTCAGGATGCAAGGGCTGGTGTGTTCGAAGGAGTAGGAAGCAGAATTTCATGTAGGAACAAAGTGCCCAAGTGTCTTGAAAGGGGGTCTGCAGCGGTCTTGATCAGGTCTTTGGACTAGGTGGTAGAAGCGGTCTTCAGCGGCTGTGACAGGTAGAAGTCCAAGAAGCGTAGTAGTAGTTCAAGTGTCAAGGTCCAAGTGCTAGGGTGCRTCCGGTACACGAACTGCAATGAGGTCTGATCTGGAAGCAAGGAAGTCGCACACTGATGCAAAGATCCATGTCACAAGTTGCTGCTCCAGTAAGTCCGCGAGTCGGGATGTCGGCCGATGAAACAGCATGGTGGCCAAACCAGCTGCATAATATCCATGAACAGTGAGGCAGCAGGCCATTGTCCTCGTGCGCTTGCCATTAGATCCTTTATCGCCGGCGTCACGCAGGTTCACAAGCATTGGACAAGAGAGACAAGGTAGTGGAGAGGACAGATGGGACAAGGCTAGGCGAGGGCAAGGGCAGATCAGACATCAGGAATGAGGGTCAAGGGGAGGGTGGACTGGGTTCAAGGGTGTGTGTAGAGCGGGGTTGCGAGGTTGTAGCAGGGTTTATACAGGGGTTTAGGGTTGAGAGTAGAAGAGCAGGTGCGAGTAGGATGCTCGATCGACAGGATAGCAGACGTCGTTGAGAGGGGGGCAGGCGGAGTAGACTGCGTCGCCCGGGGGTCGTTCGATGGGATGTGCGTCACCGGAGGGGGGTTAGGCAGACGGATAGTCGATGTTGAGTGAGCCACCGGTGGAGGAGAGATCGTCACCGATGGGAAAGCTGGCAGACAAGTGGTCGATGCATGGGGAGGATTGCGAGAGACAGGGGGACAGTGTTCAGGTGGGGGAGGGCCAGACTGTCGCGGTGGATGAAGAAGTGGGAGTAGAAGGGCCGGGTCCCGTGGAGCGAGGGACCAGTCGAGTAAAGCGGCTAGCGTTGGGGCAGTTGGTCTGTTGATGACCTAACTGGCGGCAGCGAAAACACCTGTTGTGTTCCTGGAGGTATATGTGTTCTGCGGGTGTGAGTTTTTGGAGACGACGGGTGGAGAGGCAGAAGGCGGTCGGGAGGCACGATCCCGGCGTTCCGTCCGCATAAGGTGGGTGATCTGGAGGTCCTCAATGGTGAATTGGGAGGGGTCGAGAGAGGCAGTGTCGAAGACGTCATCGAAGGTGGGTGGAGTGGTGTCGTTATGGAAAAAACGAAAGCAGGAGGGAGCAGGTGCGGACTGGTGATGGGGGTGGAGGAGTCTATCGTGGTGAAGCATGCGAGAGAGGAGGTCAACAAGGGGCATGTCGGGTTCGTGGGCGAGGGCGGTTGCAAGGTCTTTGTGGCATACTCCTTTGATGCGGGAGATGAACGCAAAGTCGGGAATGACGGTGGTGGGGAGGTGATGGTGGAGGGAGCAGATGTATTGGACGAGGCGGTCTGTGGGACCGGTCTGGCGGAGGTGACAAAATTGTTCGAGGTAGTCATCAATGGTTTTCTGGGGGCGGAAGGTGGCAATGAGAAGTTTGGCCCATTGGAGGAAGGAGTGACGTGGTCCTCCGGAGGCTCGGCGGTTGCTGACTTCAGCAATCCACCATTTGGCGGCATTGCCGAGGAGGCGGGAGGTGGCAATGGGGAGCCAGTGGGCAAGGGGCATGCGGTGGAGGTGAAAAGAGTTCTGGAGCTGGGTTAGGAAGAGGAAAACGTCCTCGTGGGGGAGGCCGGAGAAGGACATGATTTCGCCGGACCGGAAGGAACGGGGGATTTCCGCGTCGTGGGAAACGATCTGGGCGAGGGTGTTGAAGCTGAGGTTATCGGGGGTGGTGTCGTAGCAGGCGTCGTCGAGTTGGTTGTTGTCCTCAAGGCGGTAGTTGGGGGGGAGTTGTGGCATTGCGGGGTAGACCCCGGAGGTGACTTGGGAATAGGTGGGATGGATGGTGGGGATGGTGGAGGTCGTCATGATGGGTTGGGGAAGGGTATGGGAGTGCGGGGGGGGAAGAGGGGTGACGTGGATGGGCGAGGAATGAGGCGGTGTGTTGGATGCGCCGGATGAGGGAGGAGGTGGGGGGAACGAAACGATGGTGGGGGTTGAAGGGTTGGTGGATGTGGTGGTAGAGGTGGTAGGAGTGGAGGAGGTCGGCGGGGGGGNCGGCGGGGGGGTGTTGCTGGAGGCGGTTGTGGAGGAGGGAGTGGTTGGCACTGTGGAGAAGGGAGTGGTTTGCGCTGTGGAGGAGGGAGGTGCGGCCGTGGTGACGACCGTGATGGAGGGGTTGTTCCCTTCGAGCGTGGTGATGAGGTCGGATATGGATGACACAGTGGCCTTTATATCGTTGAGAGAGGCGGTGACGGAGGTTTGGAGGGTGTTGAGAGTGTGGAGGATGGCGGAGAGGTCAGGGGTGGCAGTGTTTGCTGGTGGTTGTTCGCCTGCGAGGTTGCGGGCGATGCTATCGACAGAGTCTGTGTGGATGTCAGACATGTTGATGGAGGATGTGGTCATGTCGAGGGAAGAGGGGGTGGAGGACGCGGCCGGAATGGATGTGGAGGATGCCGCAGCAGCGATGGCTGAGGCGACGGCTGCGGATGAGGTGGAGGCAGGCACGGCGGCGGCGGCTGCGCGTTGGGAGGTCTTGGATTGGCGTGGTGGCATGTGGAGATTTGGGAGTGGCAGGGGGTGGGGGCGGGGAGGGTATTTACAACATTAATTGATTTATTCAAAAATAAATAAAGGTATCTGCAAAAACAATAAAGGAATAAAACGGGAATTAATTCAAAATAAATTATTCCGATTTGGAGTAATTCATTCGAGATTAATTCGAAAATTCGGAAAGGATTTCATGGGAGAAAAGTTGAAAACACGAAATTTTCAAGAATGAACTAAGTGCTAAAAATATCGAAAAAATAACACAAATAACAATAATAATTAGTTTTGAGAAATAAATTCTGGTTAAATTTATTCAAAATGAATTTTGGGTTATGAAAAGCATGAAATTTCAAAAGGCACTAGCTAAGCGTCCGCGGTGCGGGCGGTGCGGGCGGTGCGGGCAATGCCCGCAAAAAAAAAAAAAAAAAAAAAAAAAAAAAAAAAAAAAAAAAAAAAAAAAAAAAAAAAAAAAAAAAAAAAGTTAGACCCAAGCCAACCAATAAATTTCAGCACTATTAACGAATTCAAGAAATGGAACACGCATAGAGAGACAGAGAAAGGGAGAGAGAAAGAGAGAGAGAGAGGGAGAGAGGAGGGAGAGAGATAGAGAGACATAGATAGAGAGAGACAAAGGAGAAAGAAAAGAAGAGTGCGATTGGAGTGGCTTGGTCGGAAGGTGCCTGAAGTGGCTCGATCGGTAGGTGCTTGGAGTGGCTCGGTCGGTAGGTGCCTGGAGTGGCTCGGTGGGCAGTTGCTTGGAGTGACTCGGTGT